AGGAATCTTAATTATTTTCCTTCACCTTCTTGGTTCAGTAGATAAAGTTTTCTAATACTTTGGGGGTGATGTATAACATTTTTTTCTCTTACTGGATGCAAATGTCCAAGTTATGTTTACATTAAGCTATACTGTAATGTCAGTTGAGTTACAGCAATTACTAAAAACACAGCTCCAGTCTTTAAAAATTATTTTTAACATTCTGTTTACAGATGAAGAAGTCACTGGAGTATAGTAGAAAAAGCTCTGGACTGGAAGTATGGGTCAGGTTCCAGCTTTTAATTCAGCCACTTATGAGCTGCATGACAGCCCATTCTCCCTCACTGGGCCTTAGTTTCCTCTTCTTAGTCATGAAAAAAGATTACCCACCCTCTAAATCTCTTTCAATTTTTCTCAGTTTTCCTTTAACTGTCACGTGGCCATTTTCTTTCCATAGCAGGAAAACTTGATAAGGACCAAATTTTCTAGATTATTTTAAATACTTGAAAAGCCAACTTGAAGCTCTTGGCTGCAGCAAATACAGCAAATAACTGATAATATAGTACTGTTCTTCACATTTTATACAAGGTATTACCAACATTAGTTATTCCCAAACAGAGAAGGATAATAAGGACTCCCTGATAGAGCTTCATTTTGTCATAAACACAGCTAACTAATTTCCCTTCGGAAACATGTGAAATGATGCATAGGCATTATCACCACCAATGATAACGAAAGTATTTAGACGAATGACTGTAGTCATTTAAAGCACATAGAAATAAAAAGCATGTGACGATGGCCTGTCAGACTGTCCCTGTTTTTAAGAAGCAGTCAAATACAGAAGCTGGGGGCAGAACAAGCTAGAGACAGCTCTGGCCAGCCATGAACAATCCTGGACACTATGCTTCACGCTAGGCGGGGCAGTTGAACCCCAACATACTTTCATGTACAGAGAACCCACCAGAACAACAGAGCAATAGTCATAGTGCATGCAACTTAATCCAGCAAATCGAGTTCAGGACCCTCAAAAATCTATCCTAAAACAGCGTAAGAATATACTCTTGATTTTTAAAATTACCAGTGATAGATGTCTATATTCATCATAGAGTTTGTGCCATTTTTGGAGTTTTGTTCTATCTGTCATTTTAACTAAGGAAGTATAATGAGATTGGAGTGATCAGTAGACTTACCTGGATATTACTTTTTTTAACTATTAGATTAAAAACCTTTCCCATGGTATATAAACATGCAGTGCACTACAACATTAATGACGAACACTTTATATTGTGAAGAGAACCCTGACTCTCTTAAAAAGTTTACCTCTGGAAAGTAGCCAGAGGCAAAGCATATTTCCAAGTATGTTGAGGCCTTGAATAAGAGTCCTACTCATGAAAGTGACCCCAACAGACAGTTTCATAATGTATGTAATGTATTTTGATGGTGCCACCATCATCAAAAGTGTCAGATACGGGCTTCTATGCTCTAATAATGTTCTTTCTCCATCAGTATACTTTGTATATATCTTACCATTAAAAGTTAAATTTTGATCCTTATACTCAAATCATGGCACTGACTGTTAGTGCTGAATGCTATAGTTGAATACAATAGTTCAACTATTAACACTTGTTATTTTATATCATAATATGTATTTGTAATTTATTTTATACCTGGGATTCTGTCAACAGCGCAATAATCTGTCAATAGAACAAAAAAAATCTAAGTGAATCAAATCATTTTCCGGTCAACTGAAATAGATTTCTTGCACAGACAAGGTAAGCCATAGATGACTGAACCATTAAGAAAGACGATTTTTAAATCCAAAAGCAAAGAATTTGTACTTACTTGTGATGGTTGCCTTGTGGAATGTTTGAAAAAATTCTCTAAGACAGTATTTGGTATAACCTTTCGAACTGTATTTTTAATGCCAAAT